TGAATACCTGGTGCTGCCAGAACCCCTGAGACCCAAGCAGCTGCCCCACCTCCACACCTGGCCCTCACAGGGGCAAACCCAAGTCCTCCAGGGCAGCCTCAGAAACAAACCCCAGTGGACCATCCACATGCAGAGGTGGAAATAAAACCACAATTGAAACTCAGGGGCAGTGTGGCTAAGGAAGAAGACCCAACACCTTCCCACCAGCTGTACAAGCTGCAGATTAAATCCACATGATCAGCTGGGCAGGCACTGTGTCTATGGAATATATAAAAGGACATTGAGAGATCCCAGAAAAGAAAAGGCACTAGTTCTGATAGCTGTGGACATTGGAGGCAAGAACACACAGGAGTAGGACCAGATTAGAATCTGAGCTGCCCCCAGAGCAAGCCCAGTGAACAGCATAGTGTTGGAGGATATCCTAGGGTGGACTGTGACTCCCAGCGAGGGAAAGGACTCTGACAGCAGTGACTCAAGAAAAACACTTATTTGGCTATTTAAGGTTTTTTGTATTCCCATACAAATTGTGAAATTATTTGTTCTAGTTCTGTGAAGAATACTGTTGGTAGCTTGATAGGGAGTGCATTGAATCTATAGATTGCTTTGGGTAGTATACTCATTTTCACAATATTGATTCTTCCAATCCATGAACACGGTATATTTCTCCATTTGTTTTGTGTCCTCTGTGATTTCTTTCATCAGTGTTTTATAGTTTTCTATGTATAGGTCTTTTGTTTCTTTAGGTAAATATACTCCTAAGTATTTTATTCTTTTTTTTGAATCAGTTCTAATGAAATGGATAAANGGGGGATCGGGATGGGGAACACATGTAAATCCATGGCTGATTCATGTCAATGTATGACAAAAGCCACTACAATATTGTAAAGTAATTAGCCTCCAACTAATAAAAATAAATGAAAAGAAAAAAAAAAGATTTTGAACTCACCCCAGATATCAACTAAGAGGCTATTGAAAAGTTTCAAGTGTAAGCTAACATAATTTTTAAATGTAAATTTTCTCTATAAAAAAGGCAAAATCTTTCCTATTCCACAAGTGTGGCCATGATGCCATGATGATTTGAATTTCCTCTAAGTTGTAGGATACTAATAGAGACACTTTCTCTGCATGAGGCTTTGATGTGGGTGCGTAGAGTGGGTAGTGGGTAGAGTGTCCTTGTGGGACTAAATACCGGGAAGAAACGAGGAAGAAAGGGCTTAGAAGCTGCTTCTTCTTTGTGGTCTGGCTGAGACGGGTCCTACTTGTTCATGTCTGAAGCAGCAGGAGTGCAAGTTCATCTTCCTGTCCTACAAGGGACCCTAGTGCTCAAGCTGGTCCATCTGCAGCCTTTAGAGATGTCATTCACTTTCCAAGTATCTCAGTCACCCCCCTGAGAACGATACCTAGATCCTCTCTTCCCTTGAGAAGACTTTCACTGTTAATGTCTTGGTGTGACTGTCCTGTGCTCAGACATCATGTGAATGACCAATGGAAATATGCAGCTATTTAATGTTAGTCTGTGGATAGTCTACTAATGCTTGACTGGACACTCAGACTGAGCCTGGAGTGCCCTCCCACATTTCGGCGATGTGACTCAAGCTGTCTGCTCAATAGCTGATCCAGAGCCACCACAAACAGCCTGCCCATAAGTGAACTCATTGTCTTTCCCAGTTTAGCTGGCTTCTGACCCTCTATTTCTGTCAGTAACACCAGCTTTTACTCCCTCCCAACACCCCAGATCTGGAATCATCCTTGACTCCTCTAGGGTCTGCCCTTACCAATGCCAAGTATTGAGTTGCTCCTGATGATCTGGTGGTGGGGGATCCTGCCTACCTGAGGGGATCCTGCCCACCTGCCCCCAGGGCCCGGATGCCCACCAGGTCTCTCTGCCAGGCTAGCTTCTCCTTTCCTCAGTCCCAGCCCCAGCTCTTAAGGGGTTCCCAGGCTGTGGCAGCTCCCAGCAATTTCCCTTTTTTCAACTTCCTGCAGTATTCCTCTTCTAAAACTCACCATCGTGAACTCCCATCTTTTCAAGTGTACATCCAACTTCTGTCATTAGTTAATAGGCCACTTAAGTGAAGAATCAAGTCTTTCTGTCACGTTGTATACTCAGCTCCCAGTATAATATATGGCCCATAGGATTTGCTTAATGGGTGTATTTTGACAATAACTCACAGCCAGAAATAACTATAGGCCCATTGATCTCACTTTATTAATAGGAGTCTATGTTAAATATTCTTTTTCTCCAGAGCAGTGCTTTTAACTTTGGAGAACCAGCCACTACGACTCTAATTATAAGCATTCCTTTTTTCTCCAATTACCATTAAGTCTACAACTAGCTTCTTTAAATTACACTGGAAGTAGATTTGGGGAGTGACCACAGATGTTTGCTAGTGAGGAGTTCTTAGTCTAGACTAGAAATAGTGTTTTATTCTGTCCCCAGACATTGTAGCGAAGCCACACTTAAATCATAGTCAAAAGATTACGAGAAACTTGCTTGCTTCAGTATATGGGTCAAACCGGTGTCACTTCTCGTTTGACTCCCTTAGCGTGCTTTGCACGGCCCTCCCCACCCCTCTGACCTCATCCCCACCAGTGCCCCCCCGCCCCATACCCCGGCAGCAGCAGCAGCTTTCGGTTCCCCAGACCCCAGTGGCATGCTGTCTGCACACCCTTCCCTGTTCCTTCCTCGGTTAGTTCCCGTCGTGCCTGGGCCACAGGCAGTTCGTCACTTCCTTAAGACAGTCCTTCTCTGATCTCCAGCACAGATCTACTTTCCTCGTTATACACTCCTACATCACTTATCACAACTGCAATTAACTGTGAAATAGTTTGTGTTCATCTCCACCAGATAGTAAGCTCTCAGATGTCAAATGCCTGCCATAAAAGCCTGACGCATTGTAACCAATAAATGCCTGAGTGAATAAGTAAATGAGCATTTTTTGAACGACCCATAAAATTTTCAGAGAAACAAGCCATTATAATATTATTTATATCTAGAGATTAATTCTCCTTCTTGTCCTGCCCTGAATGAACATAGGAAGCTTTCTCTGGGTCATGGGATTCACATGGAAACACATACACATTTTATAAAGTACGACTTTTGTAAAAGCAAGCCCCCAAACCGGAAAACAAAAACAAAAACAAAAACACTTGATTTGCTCCCAAACAGAATCCATGTAACTTAAATGATTGGGTAATAGGAACATTCAAAATATTTATTTTGTTTCAAATTGTTTCATTGGTACAAACTAACCTGGGTAGTCACATCTTTTTTTTTAAACTTTAAATTACTCTGAAAATTCTATCCAATTGGGTAAAAAGTGCAAGCAAGCAGTCTCATAGATATTAATATGAATTATCTACATGTTGAAACTTTTTAGTGCATGGTTATCACCAAAGTTAATGTGGTCTCCTTCTCAGAAGGTCCCAGCAACCCCACTGGTGTGTCTGTGACCTGTTTCTGTGTCCTTTCAGTCTCGAATTACCTGCTGAGTCAGACAACTGGAGAACAAATTGGCAACAACCACAGAGGAGACTTTTCTGATACAAAAATATGACCTTAATCCCCCCAAGCCTTGAATATCCTCTGTCAGGGTGCTAAAAGTTCACCAGATTTGCACTAAGATCTCACACTCTCATTCATGTTTCCTCTACAATTCCTGTCTTTACTGAGAGAGGGGACAGGACTCATTTTGTCAATTCTTTGACCAGGATAAATCATCTTTCAGTTAAAAGAAGGGAGAAGGGGAAAGCTAACTATTTTGGAACAGCTTTCAAACCCACGGATACTTGTGCATCCTTCTCCCCATCCGTTTGCTCATTTTATCACCTTATATCCCCTCGGCAAATAACAGTATGGATAAATGTTATGTTTTGAGGGCAGGGGACACACACACATGTAACTCACAGCGAGAGGAGGTACATTTGGGGGGGCATCAAATCCTTCTCTGGAGAGACTGACCTGCATGCATGTAAATGATCAGACCCGTCACGGTCCGTGGCAGGAGGCTCCTGGAACCCCGCATCACCATCAGACTTGCCACCTTTGACCGCCAGCATTTCAGTGCTGGAATCTGTCCCTGAAAATCTTCTCTTGATTGTTCTTTCATTTTGCTCACACCGATGTAAGAGCTGAGGATCCCCGCGGGGGTCCCCGCCTCTGCTCTCCTGTTGCTTCCTTGAGGGTCTTTTAGTCTCAGAGGACCTCGACAGGGAGACACCACATCCTTCGTACGTTGTGCCTTTTGCTCCGTGCAGGTTTAAAGAGCAGCTTTCACAGCTGGTCAGCTCCGCGTGCTTTTTATCTTCGGATCCCAAGTGTACTGGATTGATTTCCCTAGGAGCAGAAGACTCACCCAGGTTTCCGCTTGGTTTGTTCCTTCTCCTTCTTCTCCGCGACAGGCGGAACTTCACTTGGGCTCTTCTCTTTGCCTGAATCCAGTGACTCTCATGGGTGGAAGATGAGTCCGAGGAATCTGTGTCGGTCTCACTGCATCGGGGGCTGGGGACGTGGAGGTGCAAGTCGCTTCTTCTCCCTCTCCCCTGCTCTCGGGCATGCTCGTCCCTCTGAGCGGCCCGCCTCCGCCTCCTAGGCTTCTGTGTTACTGGTTTCTTACCGGGCTCCTGCCTAGCAGGGCTCAGCGCTGTGACAGGGGTGCAGTGCTCAAGTGAGGCTCCTGACATGTCATGTGAGATGGCAGATCTAGACAAAGCGGCAGGCAAAGGATGAGGGATTGGGGTGGGGAGGAAAGCCATGGGAATTGGAAAGGAGAGGACGGCCATGGGAAACAGAAAGAGAGAGAGATGAAAACAACAGCATGGACCCAAAGTTGGCAAAGGTCAAATGAGGGGGATGCACTAAAGGAAAAAAATCAGGCTGATATAAATTATCCACAGGCAAGATAAGACAGCAGCGAGAGTCACACAGTCTCATCATATACAGCAAGAGTACAGAACACTGGTCTAAAAACACCAAACGGGCTCGTTCGCTGCACACTTACCTGCAGATGTCCTGAGTGGATGGACAGACAGACAACCTTGACTGGCTCCTGGGAGCTGTCCCAGTTGTTGGACTGCTGGCCTGGAGAAACAAGTTAGACAATTTGGCATCTTGGTTAAGGTAATACATGGTCGATATCTTGCTTTTTTTCCACATATTTAAAAAATTACAACAAACGTGGCTGCCGGTCATGTTGTTCGTCAGGCAGCTCACAGGATATAGGAAGTCGGAGGGCAGGTTTTGCAAAAGTAAAACTGATTTGAGGAACTTGGAACAGCTGAGATGCTGTACCACTTTGCTGTTGCTTCATTTGTGATAGAGGAAGATGATTCCACAAGTTTCTATTCTATTTACTGTAAACTTTTGAGTGGAGTGGCTCAATTTGCCTTGGAAACAAAATATGTAACTCTTGCATAGCCTGTGATATAAAGGACACAATGGCTATTATGTGACAAAGATGATACTAATTCAGGAAGCTTCAAGAATCAAATAGCCATTAGATTGCCAGATACTGCCTGGAGTTAACATTAAGTCACTTTAAGGCCCCATGAGATGATATATTTAAAAACACTGTAATATTTAAAAGCCTGCAGAGATTATTATTATTTCATCATGGAGGCTAATAAAAATCTATCCTTCACAACATTATTGACCTTCATAACTTTTAACTTTGTGGCCAGACTAAACCTAAGAATAAGAAAGCCTTAAATTATGCAGATTGGCATAAATTTCAGTCTGTTTCATGAGACTCCTATGTTTGAAACACAGCATTTTCTTCACTGCTTTGAATTTTCTAACCACTGTATTTAGTACATGTGATGATGATAAATAAAAAACTAGACTGTGTGAAGAATTACTATGTGCAAGGCATGGTACTGTGGTTTATCCGCCATCTGTTTAATCCTTATAATAATCTCACAAATGGGAAATAATAATAACTAATAGTTTTGAGGGAATATTATATGCCAGTCACAATTCTAAGTAATTTTCCTATGTTCATTTAGTACAAGAAACACATGTGGCAAATACTGTACTTTTTCCCATGTTACAGATGCGGAGATTGAGAAATCAGTGCTGCTCCTTGCTGGTAGATGGTGGAGCAGAGCTTCATGTGAGCAATTCTGCTCCTTGATCTGCTCTCATACTCAGCTCTCAAGGCAACGCCCTCCTGTACACAGAGGAAACCCCGGGAGTTCAAGGCCCAGATTTAAACCAGTCTGACTGCACAGATGAAATTGCCAGCAAGAAAAATAACAGTAAACGTAGTAAGATTAACCCCAAATTTCAAAGTTCTAAAAATCCCCATATTAAAGATACATACATATAAATCAGCTATAAGAAAAAAACTGCAAAAAAGCATAAGCGTGCGAAAGCTGCACAATATGCTACTGAACAACCAATGAGTCACTGAAAAAAAATCAAAGAAGATATAAAAAATATCTGGAGGCAAATGAAAATGGAAACAACCTATGCAACTCAGCAAAGATACTTCTAAGAGGAAAGTTTATTGCAATACAAGCTTACCTAGGGAAACAATTAAAAATCTCAAATAAACAACTTAACTTTGCACCTAAAGAAACTAGAAAGGAAGAACAAGCACACCCCAACGCTGGCAGGAGGAGAGACATAATAAAGATCAGAGCAGAGATAAAGGAGCTAGAGGCTTAAAAAGCAACAGAAAAGATTAAACAAAAACAGTAGAAAAGATTAAACTAAGAGCTGGTTCTTCGAAATCTTTTCAAAATTGATAAACCTTTAGCCAGGATCGTCAAGAATAAAAGAGAGAGAGCACAAATCAATAAAATCAGAGAGGGAAAAGTAAAACTACGATCAACACCACAGAAATACAGAGGATCATTAGAGACTACTAAGAAATGGACAACTTCTTAGAAATGTATAATCTAACAAACTAGTGAATATAACAAAAAATCAACAGACTCACAGACATAGGAAACAAACTAGTGGTTATCAATGGGGGAAGGGAACAGGGGAGAGATAAAATAAGAGTAGGGGATTAACAAGTAAAAGCTGTTATGTATAAAATAAGTAAGTTGCAAGAATATACTGCACAACACATGAAATACAGACAGTATTTTATAAGAACTATAAATGGAGTGTAACTTTAAAAAATTATGAGTCACTATGCTGTGCATCTGTAACTTATATAATATTGTGCATCAAATATACTTCAGTTAAAAAAAAGATTAAAAAAAGAAGAAAGAAAACAATAAATACACCTGATTGTGGGATCCAGAGGAAAAGAAACTAATTCTAAGTTAAAAGGTTAGAAGAACTTCAAGAGGAGGTGTGGAGGGCTGAATAATACTGCCCCTTACTCCCAGTCAAGATGTCAACATTTTAATTTCTGGAATTTGTGAATCTGTTTCCTTACATAACAAAAATGACTTTACACAGGTGATTAAGTTAAGGACCTTGAGATGGAGAGATAGTCCTGCATTATCCAGGTGGGCAAGGCATAAGCATGAGGATTCCTCTAAGAGGGAGGTGGTAGCATTAGAGTTAGAGAGAGAAGATGAAAGGATGGGAACAGAGGTCAGAGAGAAGGGGAGATGCTCCACTTCTGCCACTGAAGATAGACGGAGGAGACCCTTGTGAGGCTGCCAGGGTTAATACCATGACAGGCGGCCTGGACCTAAGTTTTTGCTTCCCCCGAAATGATAAGATTCCCTACCCCCATCAGGTAACCTGAAGCCAGCCAATATGCTCCCAGTAAGAAACAAAGGAAGAGCTGAAAAGCCCGCGAAAGTTTGTACCAATAAAATTGCTTTGCAAACATGTAACCAATCCGCTTAAGCCAGCTACTAACCTCTTATGCATACCTTATAAATTTGGATAACAGCCTTTGTTCAGGGCTTTCTGACCTTGCGCCACTGTGTTGGTTGCAGCAGAAAGCCCTGACTCGAGCCAGTAATAAAACTTCCCTTTTTGTAAATTGCATTGTCTTGGAAGTTCTCTCTTCCCACTCAGGGATTCGGACATCGGGCAGAACAACCCTGAAAGGAGGAATGCAGGCAGCCTCTAGAAACAGGTAAAGACTGGAAAATGAGTTGTCCTCTATAGGTTCCAGAAGGAATGAGGTCCTGCTAACATCTGCAGTGTATCCCCTTGAGACCCATGTTTGACTTCTGACCTCTAGAACTACAGGGTGATACATTTTTGTGGTAATTTGTTTTAGCAGTCATAGGAAACTAACATAGGAGTAATACTCAACTAAGCTAAAAAGGAAAGTAGGAGTTATTAAAGAAGATATTAAAAATACTCTGAGGCAGAAGAAGCCACGTCCCCACAGGGGAGTATGGAGTCCTCTACATGTTCCAATAGACTTATCTGCACACTTTGTTCTTATTAAGTTTATTTTATTGAAGTATAGGGGCTTCCCTGGTGACTCAGTGGTAAAGAATCTGCCTGCAATGCAGGAGACCTGGGTTTGACCCCTGGATCGGGAAGATCCCCTGAGGAGGGAATGGCAACCCACTCCAGTATTCTTGCCTAGGGAATTCCATGGACAGAGGAATGTGGCAGTCTACAGTCCATGGGGTTGCAAAGAGTCAGACACAACTGACCGACTAATACACACATTGAAGTATCAGTTTAGTTCAGTTCAGTCACTCAGTCATGTTCGACTCTTTGCAACCCCATGGGCTGCAGCACGCCAGGCTTCCATGTCCATCACCAACTCCCAGAGCTTGCTCAAACTCATGTACATTGAGTCGGTGATGCCATCCAACCATCTCATCCTCTGTTGTCCCCTTCTCCTCTTGCCTTCAATCTTTCCCAGCATCAGGGGCTTTTCCAATGAGTCAGTTCTTTTCATTAGGTGGCTGAAGTATTGGAGCTTCAGCTTCAGCATCAGTTATTCCAATGTATATTCAGGACTGATCTCCTTTAGGATGGACTGGTTGGATCTCCTTGCAGTCCAATGGACTCTCAAGAGGCTTCTCCAACACCACAGTTCAAAAGCATCAATTCTTCAGCACTCAGCTTTCTTTATAGTCCACCTCTCACATCCATACATGACTGCTGCAAAAACCATGGCTTTGACTAGACAGACCTTTGTTATCAAGGTAATGTGTCTGCTTTATAGCATGCTGTCTAGGTTAGTCATAGCTTTTCTTCCAAGGAGCAAGCATCTTTTAGCTTCATGGCTGCAGTCACCATCTGCAGTGATTTTGGAGCTCAAGAAAATAAAGTCTGAAACTGTTTCTGTTGTTTGCCTACCTATTTGCCATGAAGTGATGGAACTAGATGCCATGATCATAGTTTTTTGAATTTTAAGTAAGCTTTTTCATTCTCCTCTTTCACTTTCATCAAGAGGCTCTTTAGTTCCTCTTCACTTTCTGCCATAAGGGTGGTGTGATCTGCATATTTGAGGTTATTGATATTTCTCCTGGCAATCTTGATTCCAGGTTGTGCTTCATCCAGCCCAGCATTTTGCATGATGTACTTTGCATATAAGTTAAATAAGCAGGGTGACAATATACAGTCCTGATGTACTTTTTTCTCAATTTGGAACCAGTTCATTGTTCCACTTCTGGTTCTGACTGTTGCTTCTTGACCTGCACACAGATTTCTCAGGAGGCAGATAAGATGGTGTGTTATTCCCATCTCTTTATGAATTTTCCACAGTTTGTTGTGATTCACACAGTCCAACATTGTGTGTGATACACACAAACAAACATTGAAGTATAGTTGATTTATAATGTGTTAATTTCTGCTGTACAGCAAAGTGATTCATATTATATAAAATTCTTTTCCTTTATGGTTTATTGTAGGATATTGAATATAGTTCCCTACTATATGGTAGGACCTTGTTGTTTATCCATTCTATAAATAATAGTTTGCATCTGTTAATCCCAGGCTCTCGGTCCTTCCCTCTTCCACCCCTCCTCTTCTTGGCAACCACGGGTCTATAACTTATTTCAAGTTTTTAATTTAGATCAACTTCATATCTGTACCCATTGAAAGCATAAGCAGTTTTTGTAAAATATAAGCATTTTTCTGTACTTGAAGCAGTAAATTTTGTTCAAATGTGTATGATTTATTCCACATACACCAAATGA